ACTATATCTAGCAATAAGATTTTATCAATATGCCACATGTAGACACCAGGTGAGAAAGCGGGTACAACTTGAATATTGCTCGGTTAATGCTCTTTTCCCTGTCTAATACGAACACTAGCTGTTCTGAGTCGTGGACCACATCTTTTAACTTCTTGAAGCACCAATTCCACAATAGATTTATTTTTCATCAAAAATCTCCCAAGCAATAGAATATATATGCATGTTGGCATCTAGAGTTGTAGCAACTAAGAATGTTCACTTGTACTGACCCTTCAAATGACTCTCGTTAATAGAAATGATGGGTCTCATGTAATCTCGAAAGCCACGCATACTTGCCCCGAATACTAAGAAAGAGTACAATAATCTGTTATTGCTATCTAGCTCAATATGTGTGATGATTTCAAGGTTTCTCTCAATTAACACATGGCAGTACGAAGGCAATTTTTGAAAACTCTCTTCAGGTGAATCACGGAGCCATTCAAAACCATTCTCTTTGCCCCTCTAGGGCTTGTTGCAGTTAATTCTATAGCAAACGAAAATAAATTTTCATCTATTTCATCTTGACATGTTTTGTTAATTTGGGATACCGACGGACTAATTTAAAATAAATCTTTGTGTCAAAATTTTAGCTTTTCGGTCAAATAATCAAGTATTTATCTATAGTGAGAAATTTCCTATCGATATTAGTCTTGTTTCGAAGCTCATATTAAATGACGAATTTTGTACTTGAGAAAAAGTTATTTCGAATAAGTTAGGCCCATGATATTGATGTTCAAAGAATCCACATGTTTAATTAAAATCAATTAAGGATTTAATTGTTAATTTTTTTGTTGGGCAGCCTCATTATCATTTGGATTGTTTTGAATTTGACTCTTGATTTTTGAATTTTTAAGGAATGATAATTTGGATTAGTTTTATTAGTTTTCCATTTGAATTCCTCATAATCCAACAAACCAATTTGATCAGTATTCTAGGAGTCCTAATTAATTTGGGATCTAATTCCTGTAGGACTTTTGTTTCCTTTACTACTAGGAGATTGGGTATACTATAGCATTTGAGGGTTCACGCCACTTTGCAAAAATATATATCAGATTACTTATAAGAAATCATAGGCCAACGGATTCTGGGAAGATAATTATATTACAAATTCAATTGGAAAGGATTTATGTTCAACATAGACGTTTCCTCACCACTCCAAGTTAAGATAGGATCCCTAAGCAAAGTTGTCGCTATATGAATTTAATTTTCATTTAAGCATGTTATTCATTATATTTGCTCATAAAGTATATAAAGTGCTTTTAGAGTTTTCTCTTAAATTTTGGCGAAAGAAAGATTTATATATGTTTAAACTGATAGTCTCAAAGACTTATCAGAACTTTAAGTAGATCATTTGATAATCTATTTACTTATTTATGAAGGCATCATGTAAGAATGCATGATTAGATAGATGATTATTATGTTCATGTAGCACGTGTAGTCTATTGAGTATTTCTTTGATATGCTCATTCTTACTTAACTCTTTTCAGAGTAATCAGAAATCCTACGGTGGTTCGACATGAATGGCATGTAATATTTTTAGAGAGTTATGTCTTATACTTTAGATTGCCAATCTTATGTTCAATAATTATTAGGTGTCCTAGAGATTGTAGTTTAATTTCATGTTTTTGAGACCTCAATTTCAGAATTTTGCCACTATTGTTAAAATTGTGCTATGGCCAATAAATTTGGAAAACTTTAAATGAGTATTTTTTGAAAACTTGAAGACTGAATTGATGATGAAATTGCTCCATGGTTGATAAAAATATTTTTAGGGGGATTTATTTAGTTTATTTGAATTACAACACTAAAATTTAAATATTTTCAGTTTTTGCCTAAGTAGTAGTAGTAGTAGTAGTAGTAATAAATCACCAAGACCTAAATACTTGAAATTTTGAGGTGATTCCAATTGGAGAAGATAGCCATATGAGTTATCTATCTCCCAAATTTTGAATCACGAACTTTTGGATGTGTAAAACACAAGTTATGAACGTTTTTACTGTGAGCTGCCAGAAGGTACTCAAGAACGAATAGATTCGGTTTTGAAAATAATTTTAACCAATCTATTGATTGAATTTGTATACGAAATTTTAACCTATAATTATCCTATGTGTAAGATGTTTACAATTTAATTTTGTACATTTTGGATTTCATTTAGTTGTCGAACGAGGTTTATTTTAGAAAGTCATACAAGCTGAAAATATAAATTTGCCGAAAGAAAATGTCTTTAATTTTATTTTTTTTAACGGGTTTGCTAAAGCCTTAATGGTTTTAATAAAAGTTAAATTTCTACATTTTATGAACAATTTAAGTAGAATTTTACAAATTTAAGGGCTTTGAAATGTCACGAGGCCACAAAGCTCGAGGCTTTACAAATTCTGCATCAAACTCATATTCAATATTCTTGATAATACCCCCCGAAACGTACGGTTTTTTTGCATCATCTAATCGCCATATTATGTGTTGCCTAATTGGCGTACTGGTTGTATGCATGTGTGCATTCTGCCGAACATCTAAAGAATATGTGTACTCGGGTATATAACTTTGAAAAGAAAAATATATCTGAATTTTATTATCTTAAAAGCTCATAATAGCCAATGGTAGTTGGTATCAATGCAACATACAGCGATAGATCTAGTATTCAACTTTTTAACTTTAAAATGAAACTTCTCAATCAAAGCCTCTAGTCGAACCCTTGTGTATAGTTGTTTCTTGATATAGAATATTTGATTCTCCACAATTTCCCATTGATCTTTCGATTCCTTTGCAATTCCAAATCCATACTAAGCCAAAATCCGAATTTGGAATAATTCATGGCTCTTCTACTTCTGATACAAACTTCTTTATACTCATACGATGCCTCTTGCTATTCAACATCATATCGTTCTGCAATTACACACAAGGCTGCTATTGTGTGAATAGAAATGTACCATTACAAATTCTCGTCATCGGATACATAAGATTGGGGTACATTCATGTTCGAAACTTTAGATTTCAAGTGAATTTGTTGTCAATATTAAGCTATTCGAATAATTTATTGACAATGTCTTCATATCTAATGTCACTTCAAATAACAATTGATATTGTTCGATTGCTAAGCCACTTCCACTCGTCCTCCGTACAAATGTACCACCATGCGAGACAACCAATCTCATAACATCACCCATATTCTGTATGTCATTAACACAAATAAAATTAGCTTAACACAAATATGTAAAACAAGCATGTTACGTGCAAGCAATATGGTCAACGGTAAGCACAAATGTTCCGTAGTTTAGGCTAGTTTTTAACATCGTTCTCAACATTTAAAACAATATTAGGAATTACATTTGAGGTGTTATTCTCGACAATTATAAAATGTTGAGAATGATATGTGGGAAAAACACTTTACCATATGTATTTATCATTTTCTTTAACTTCAATCATCATTTTTGCAATATTCCACCATTAATGGCATTATTAATACATGACTACCATTACAAATTCATCTATCAAAGTTATTTAAGTAAGTTGTAACACTACGTTTGAGGAACCCAAAACAACAAATATAAATTTGATTTTAAAATACTCAAATAATCTTGCAACAAATATCTACTAACTTTTTGAAAAATCTAACACATTTACATCATATATATCACAATAACTATTAAACACAATTTATCAACAAAAACTACATTTTGAAGAAAATTTACTTTTTATCAGGAATTGTAGATAAGATTAAATTTCTCGAAATGAAATTATATGATTTTCTTATGAAGTAGAAGTATGTAAATTTTTTTTGTTAATAATTTTTCTGTTTCATAATTTTCATTTCTACACAAAATCATAGGTCATTACCTAATAGATGATAAAAGAAAATCAACTCATTACAATATTAGCTTCTCGCGAAAGCTACTTTTTTTTTCCCTACAAATTTATGACATATTGTTTAAAAAAAATGGCTTCATTTTTTCATCAAGGGAATAAAATCCAATTTGGTGCCAAATTTGCCTATTTTTGCAAGAGTTATCAAAATTACACACTTTTCAATTGACAATTATATAATTGGCCATTTCTAAAAATTTCCCTAACAATAAATTAAACATTGTTCTCATGAGGCATAAATCCTTTTTTAGCAGTTCATTTAGAACATCTCCAATCGCAATGTAAAATGGACCTAAATGGTGATTTATATCTTCAAAGTGACCGAAAATCCCTCTAATAGAGAGATGCAAACAAAATGTAAATTACATTTTAGACAGAAAATACAAATATAGATGTAAATTTACATTTCTTTTTACATCCAATCAAGGCAAAATGTAAATTAGTAATCGAGGCAAAAAGTAATTTTTCAACTGGAACAAAATTTGAATTCAGATCCACAAAAATATAAATAAGAATGCAAAAGTAATTTTACAAATACCAATTTAAACCACATTTTACACTACCGTTGAATATGCACTTAGCAGAGCTTATACCAATTGCGTCACTTTGGGAAGTATAACTTTTATGTCAATGTGTAATATGTCCCAACCTTTAAAAAAAAAGAAAATTAATTTTAAGATGTGTTCTCAACTAAGATTTAGATAATGATATTTTAAAACATAATAAATCTTAATAAATTTCATGAATTTGAGTAGATTTCCACAAATTCAATAAGAATCTCATTAAATATAGTAAAATTTCAAAAAATTTGATTATATTTATGAAATTAATCCAAATCTTTTAAAATCCATCTATCAATGAAATCTGTATAAATTCACTAATAATTAGAATACCTAAATTATTTCATTGAATTTCATTAAAATCTCAATTGGAAACCCCCTAAATTTTAATAAATTTCATTAAAATCTATTAACATCTCAATTGAGGACATCTAAATTTAGAATATGATTTCTTTAACCCACTACAATGTCAATTGAGTACACCCCCAAGTCTCGAAAACAAATGCACAACAATCAAATTGATCAATAATGAACATGGGATTAGAGAAATATTGAAATTAATATTCTATTTTGTATGATGCACATATTTGGCATATCAATCTGCTAACGGTGATGGCTAAACAATCACAAGGGACAAAGGAGTTTCTCAGCTGACACCAACAAGAGCAAATGAAATAACCTGGCATGTTTCGAGAAAATAAAAATTATTTCATTCGTCCCGCTACTGAAACCTTAAACCACTCTTCGATTGTTCAGTAAAATCAACGCCTACTTTTCATAAAAAACAGTTACATACTTTGTTTATTTGTTTACTCTCTCTCTCTCTCTCTCTCTCTCTCTCTCTCTCTCTCTCTCTCTCTCTCTCTGTGGCACATCTAAAATTACTAAGGATTCAAGTTCAAAGTAATGGCCTGAAATTGCATTTATGCCGATACGATCTTCAATCATACCAGGCAAAATATTGAAGCACACACTCCTCCTGGCATTATGTCACTATTTCTCCTCAACTGGGTTATATCTCTTTAACCTCTTTTGATCCACACAGCCAGGAGTCGACCCCCCTCTTTCTTTTCTATCAAGCCAAGTATTTTTTGATTCTGCACTCGCATAGGTTGGCAACAAGTCAGGTAAGCAATCTGAAGCATTCATCAAAAGCAATGATTTAGTAAAACCCAAGAAAGCAGCAGGAAACCTTATAAACATTTCCAGCTTGCCTAACATATGCATGTACAGCATAAAGTTCTCTTCTTAACCATATAGTTGTCGAAGAGACAGTTTAACCATTAAAAAAAAAAAAAGGATCTCAATTGATTTTTGACAAGTAACCCAAATTGTACAAGGTGTTATAGTCCACTAGTGCTCAGATCTATGGAAGTCAGGTCTACAAGGAAAAGCCACTAAGATCTAAACACTGAGAACATTATGACATGCTGCAAATATAAATTACTATACGCGATGACAAAATGTCAACCATCATTTTCGTTAAGTACCTATGATGAGAGAGAGCTACAAGCATCGGCTACATCACATGACATGGAAACAGATCTGCACAGTAATTAAATTAAAAAAAAAAAGAAAAAGATATATATATGAATAAACTTGCCAATAACTTCTACACCTGAATGACCGAGGGAAGCAATACACGGACAAACCACGACAGGGTTAACTAAAACAATAAAAGTTACATACATGTTAGCTTGAAATCCGATCTGGCTTTGAACCAAAAAAACGCGGTCTTTTACTCATTATTTCTGCTTCTCTGGCAATTTGGATATCTGAAGGCCAGAAAATTTGTTGCAGAACTTTGAAAATAAAACGAGGAAGCAATCCTACAACTACTATGAGCAAAATGGAGAGCCAATAAGCAGGCGACTTTGCCAGATGGTATATTGTACTGCAACAAAACAAAAATCAATTGTCATAAGCCTTAAAAAAGCAAATGACATAACAAGTAAACATTAGTATTGTTGAATTTTCTTGAAAACTTATTATTTAAACTAACCCATAATTAGGAAACACGGGTATAGAATCAAGCACCACCATGCAACTGTATGTGATACTTATTGATCCCCATAATGAGATGTGAGTAATAACAACCCAGCGCTGAATATCCATTGCCAAATGCATATTAACTAAGATAACAACTGCAATTGTCCACAAGCTACCCATACTCCATATGTCAATCGTGCTATCTCTATAGGTGAACAAGGGTACATAGAAGAGAACAAGGCTCTGCCATAGCATGTCAAGCATAGTGATCCAGAAGAGGGACATATTATAGCTCTCCTGTCGATAGCCAGCAGAATAGAGTTTTGGATACTTCAACAAAGTCTTGTGACTTAAGTCCTTGTCCAGAATTCCAACAACAATAGTAGGTAGTGATGTATATAAAACTGAATAAAAAACACTGCTCCAGTCTGTCAGTGCAGAAGTCGTTGAAAAAGCTGTATACAGAATGTACCTGGAAATTAAAACAGATGCATGAGCCGAAATCTTAATTCAAGGCAGTTCTCATTATGCACCAGCAATTTCATTGAAAATGTGATACAAATTTACGTTCTGACAAGCATTTGAAACATATAAAAAGACAACTCATAACAATAACACTAGACAATTGAAGGCATAACAGGGCCACTGGCTTCGATTAAATATTTCATAAGCAAGGATTAGTACATGTCATCATCAAATGGTTGAATTTACAACGACCAAGGATGCTGGGCTTACCAGAAAAGCATTAACACGAAAACAGCATTACGGTAGAAGTTATAAAGAACCAGATAACCGATGCGCTGATAATTCCAATGTCCGTGCACCAAAAGCAATCGTTTCAAAAATCTGAATTGTCCCATTGCAAAATCTGAAGCCATTACGGCTTGACGCCCTTCTTGACCACATATTCCAACACCAACATCCGCCATTTGGATCATGGAAACATCATTAGCTCCTGCAAATACAGTGTCAATTAGATGAAAGCAAGTCAAAAAACCTTCCTGTGAGATGGATCTAGCATATAGCTTGCATACGCACTACACATTTTAGCACATGACATTCTCAATCGAAAGAAACAGCACAAACATATAAACAAATGCAGGTTTCAAAGGATTAATCAAAACTCAAATGCAACTGCCTCCAGCCAACGCCAGAGAATTCCCAAGCAACCAACTCACCATCACCAATGGCTAGTGTCATATCATCACTCCGACATTTGATCAGGTCAACAATTCCAGCCTTTTGCAAGGGTGCAACACGACAACAAAGCACAACCTTACACGAAGTTGCGAGGTCAAATAGCTGGTAAACAATGAAAAATTACAAAATTAGAAGCTTGGTAAGTTAAATGCATAACTTAATACAGCCAAAGAATGCAATTAAACTTCACACATTTATATCCAAATCAAGCAATTTGACAAGCTAACAGATTCAAGAATCTGAGAAATAATACCAAACATGTGGAACATATCAAAACATCAAAAGATAACCAAAAAAGGCAGAAATTACACGTGCCTCAGACTCCAGATCTTTCTCTAATATGTAAACCAGACTATTCCCATCAATTATAAGTGCTAGTGGTCCAAAAGAAGCTCCTTCCTCCTGTCCTGCATGCTGCTGTTGCAAGCTAGATAACTTTGTGCCAAGAGGAATCTCAAGGTAATCACTTTCAGTATTCTGCCTCCATACTGATATCTGGTCACAGCTATTTGCAGATTTCACACAATATTTGGCCTTAGCATCACAAAGAAATTTTCTGCATTCACTCTCCGAAGTTCCATTTATAATAATCTGTTCCATATCTGCAGTCAAGAGTTTGCAAGAAAGACCAATAGAAATGGCTGTCTCTTGCTTATCTCCAGTAAGAACCCACACCTTTATTCCAGCTTGCCGCAGGGACTCAATGGCTTCTGGTACACCCTCTTGTAACTTATCCTCGATTGCAGTGGCCCCAAGTAGGGTCAAGTCACATTCTATAAGAGCTGCTGTTTGACGCAATTTTATAGATCTGTCCGTCAAGGATGTGCTTGCATCTTCGTACGTGGATTGCCATTCCACAAGTTCTTCACCTGTAAGGTCCCTAGAAGCAACAACTAGGGTACGCAAACCTTCAGATGAATATTCATTCAGATGACTCTGTGTAGCATGTTTTGTATGATTATCATCAGGATGGTCTCTCTTTAAAATGCTGAACATAGATGTATCAGCCCCCTTCACCAATACCTTTACACTATCATTTGGAAATCTGATAACAACAGACATTCTTTTACGCACGCTATCAAACTCATGAAGACCCAAAACAACCAACCTGCATTGCACATTTAGAAATGATAAGCATGACCATCAACTTGAAATTTGACAAGGCAAGGAAATGGCAGGGGCATGAAGTCACTGAAAGTTTGTCACAACAGGTACACTGATCAGACGGTGTATATGTTTGGGAAAATGATAAGCTCCTTATACATTGATGTCAAAATCAAACCATAGTTTTAACCACACATTCACAATTACTACCCACTTATTAACCACACATTTTGTGAGACTCATTAGTCCTCTTCATTATAATCCCTTTATAAGTTCTCCCAAATAAGCTACTAATTCAATTACAAAAAGACATGAGAATAAACATAGAAGTGGTTTTGGGTGTACTGTAGAGAACAAGAAAAATCACACTAGTGTACTGCATATCATATCTGACTCATCCAGAAAAACGCAATATGGAATGAAAACAAAATTACAAGAGTGCAAAATCCAATTAAAGTAAAGAAAATGAAGTGAGAGCCTTCTACCTTAATTTCTCACCATTGACATCAACTACAATATGCCCAGATGTCCGCTCATAAAGTGTATACCCATAGGCAGACGCTGCAGCAACCAGTGCCTGTTCATCAGGAGATTCACCCTGATAATCGACGATTCCATAACTGGCCCGCAATGTACTGTCAGTGTCACTAGAAGATGGAGATTGGGTGGCAATAGGAATCACAGTATTACATGCAGCAAGTGTCAGAAAAAATTCTTGTGCAGCAATCCTTTCATCTCCAGACAAATCATTGTGCAACAATTTGAGGAGTTCAGAATCAGGGGTAATTTCAGATTTGAGCTTCCATGTTCTTCTACCCTCCAAGACAGCTTCAGCTGCACAGATTAATAACAGATTTATTACAATGTTAAGTGGTACATAATCCATACATTTTAATTTGCCAAATCTTCAAGATGACCATATACAATTATACACAAGCATATGATGTGTTTATAAACTCGTGGATGACAACCAGTATTTAAGCATTACTTGGTTCTACAGGTCTTTCACATAAAAGAACTCTAAGCGATCAGCAATTATTTAAAAAAAAAAAACGGTTGAGAACGATTGAACTAACAAGGGAAGTACAGGATGTTCTAGTGAAATGAAACAAAATAGAGTGAGAAGAGTAGACCACAAGGAACTAGCTGGGTAAATGACAATAGGAAGGGAGATGATGCATAATAACTGCCATCATTGTCAAGGCCCTTTGCCGTGACACCATCTACCCTAGTTGTGGGTGTATTAAATGATGTGAATTGTGCCACATTTGGAGGATTTTAATATTTATCCTGGAAGTTAAAGCTTTAGACAGAGAGTAGATACAAATTTGCAATGCCAAGTGAGAGCAAAAAATTTTCATTCTTGATTTGCAATGTTATCAAATTCAGTAATCTGGCAGTTTGTAAGTCTAACATGGAGCGTTCATTAGCCTAATTATATTTGTTTTTCAACATAAAATTGGGACAATAAAAAAAACTTCTATAGTTTCCATATTTTTCTGTTGCCTGATAATCCTCTATTTTTTTTTTTTTTGTTTGAGATGAGAACTAAGATAGTAATTCCCATCCTCTCTCGTAGTTTGAGATCTTAATTTTCTCCATAATTATCATTTCCCATATTTTGAAACAATAGAACTAATCAACACTGCAATTCCATAACGAGGAAATACCCTAGCCAAATAGAGGGTGAAAAGTTCGTCACTACTACATCTGGGGAATCAAGAATAAACCATAAAACTATAATTTCTTAATGATTTCCAGATTTCTGCTAGAATTGGTAAAGAATTAAAAATACCTAGGAGTTAACATTG